CACTGCAAGGTAATTTTACGTAGTCCTGTGAAGTTTTGTTGAAATCGGTTGAAAAATGTAGAAATCCGATCCAATATATAAACGTGCACACACACACACACACACACACACACACACACACACACACACACACAAACAATCTGCGTTTTATAATAAGTAAGATCCAATGTCTATGTAGGCTCAAGTATATACTCGACTAATATAGGCTCAAGTATAAACACGACCAATATCCGCCAATTTATATAGCTGGCTATATAGACTCAATTATAAGGAGGACTATGTTGCCGAAATATAATATTTTCATGTCAAGCTAGAAGTGAATAACTAGTATTTAAATACTCACATATATTGCTTTCATTAGGTTCATGTGGAAGCCATTTAATAACTTCTGATATTTTTTCAAAGTCTTTCAAAGAACATAAAGCAATAAAAAGCCGAATAAACTTTGGAGTCGCTTCTATGGTTTCCTTAACATCACGTTTGGAAAATACTTCCAGCCATCTGCTCGCGAAGTATTATTGATTGATCTTGTATAAGAAATATTAATGTCTCCCTTCATCTATTTATCTAAAACTTTCCATCAAGGATACGTTTTCTTTCCGACTGGAATATTTTCCATATTTTATCTTTTACTAAATAATTAAACAAGATTTTATGGACAGAATGTCAAGATCTCTTAAGTAGTTAAAAAGAATATTGACACATTTTAAAGAAAAGGTAAGATTGAAACGAACAATACAGATAGTCGAAGAGATCCAAATCTAGATAACTCTTGCAGAATATATATATATATATATATATAACAGTCTGATGATTAGCATGAAACAGTCTGTCGCCTCTGAGTGGTGACTACAATGTTCACTTTAATATTTACATGCGCTCTATCTCTGAGAGTGAGCAATTTATCCCATAAATATAGCATACCTTAAAACTATATTTCTTTATATATATATATATATATATATATATATATATATATATATATATATATATATATATATATGAGCGATGGAATCATATTTTTAAAAAAATAATTATAATTTAGGCTTTACTTATGTATTGAGCAATGTTTTTTTAAAAATAAAAAATACTAACGAGCTTCGGATAATTAACGTAACGGTTCTTTCTTATATATTTGCACACACACACACACACACACACACACACACACATGTATATATATATATATATATATATATATATATACACACATACATACATACATACATAAAAACATACATATATATATATATAAATATATATATATATCAAAAAAATAAAAATGCCAACGAACTTCGGATAATTAACATAACGGTTCTTTCCTATATATTTGCATATATATATATATATATATATATAGTCACCAACAGACAAACTGTTTCGCAGCTCATCATGGTGGCTAGACGCCCGGTTGCCTCTAGCTAAGATCGAAACCTAACTGAATTGGGGTCAGTCAGGGATTCTACAACTAAGCCATTAGCGTACGTCAAGGATGCGTGTGGATTTAAGCGTATTTATTTCTAGATAAATACAGAGTGACTGAGAGAATTCGATTCGATTTACCGAAGAGTCTTGCATTACCATTATTAGCCGTAATAGTCACTGTTTACAAATCCACACTTTCTCCCCAGAGAGCTCAACCGAAATACGTTTTTCAGGAGCATATATATTGTTACCCACAGACAGACTGTTTCGCTGCATCACAGCTCATCAGTGTGACTAGACGTCCGATATATGACAAAATATATGTTCACCTGTCGTCCGGTTCACACTCCTCTCCGGTCTTTGGAACAGGAGTAGAAATGTATCCCTTGTTTCCAGTTTAGATTAAAGGCATTCTCTTTCTCTTCCTGTAGCCTTTTGCGTCTTAGTGGCATTATTGCCTTGCTTGGGGTGAATTCATTAGAAAAAAGTCTATGCAATGACATAAATAATGAATATACATTTCAGGTTATTATTCTTCTTTTATGTCCCGTGTCCCTTCTAGACGTAGGTGATCATGGCCCTCCACATTTTCCTGTCCCTTGTAGCTCTTAATCTCCCAATCCCTGATCTGTCATCCATTTACTCAGCGAATACAGTACTCATTCCTTTCGTCTGTACTTCTTTCCCTCTATCTGTCCTGTGAGTATTAGATTTTCCAAACCCTCCTTCCTCAATACGTGCCCCTGATGTTAAATATTCATTTTTGTTTCCATTCTTTCCGGTATCCCGTTGCTGCTCACACGTTCAGCCCATACTATCCTCAGCATCCTTCTGTAGAACCACATTTCTGTTGCTTCAAGTCTCTTCTTCATCTTTGAGATTATGCAGCATTCACTGTCACACAGGAGGACAGATATCGCGTAACAGTTCAATACATTTTTTGTTAGAACGAACACAGTCCTATCTATCTATCTATCTATATATCTATATATATATATATATATATATATATATATATGTGTGTGTGTGTGTGTGTGTGTGTTTGTGTGTGTGTGTGTGTGGTGAGTAGTGGATAGCCACTCGGACTAAGGAATCGGAGAGCCGAGTTCGAATCTATTGCATTCACTTACGTGCTAATACCCTTGTGAAAGGTATGAAACCTCTTCTTCTCCCCCACCAGCTATGGTTAAATAGCAAGACAGAGTGGGTTCTATAACCTTGGATGGCAACTGGTCTAGAAGAAGGACAACTCCGAATTCAAAACCTGCCGTTTGGGGACCTTGTGGCACGTAGTGCACCAGGTCTATGCATTCGGACCTTCGAAATCTGTGGTTGATTCCGCACAAAGCCTTCACTAATATAATCAAATCATATACTCAGGTTGTCTGGCTGTCGGTTCATAAGAACTGTGCTGATTGACCCTCATACGCCGAATACGACGGAAGAGTCCACTATATATATATATATATATATATATATATATATATATATATATATATATATATATATATATATATAACCACACCTTGCCTTCAAATGGACTCGTCCTGAACACCTACAGTTCCGCCATATGCGAACATCTTTTAAATAGCAGAGATTGTGCTGCCAAATTCAGTGTCGACTAGTTCACCGTGTTGGCCCGGTCACACTCATGTATTTCATCTTAAGATCTGAGACACTTTACATCGGGTCCCGCAAGCCTTCTTGTGCATACAACGAGTGTTTGCTGGGACTCGCTGTCATCTGCCTCTAGTTCCTTCTTGCATATATACAGGTATATATATGTACATATATGTATTTTTTCCACCTATTCTGATTGTACCTTTTCTGTTTTAATTTTGAATCTCCCGTGGAAGTTTGATGAGCGGGAGCGAAACCGGTTGCCCCCCCCTTGTTGTTGAGTGTTTTTTTTTATTTTTATTATTTAACATTGTTTTAATATGTCTTGTAATATTAAATTTTACACTTTTTATTTCGATCATTAAATTTTGTACTTACAAAAATATCTTTAAATATATATATATATATATATATATATATATATATATATATATATCAAATGGTATTTTAGTGGATACCTGAATTTGAAACAGTGTGTATTACTTCACTCGGCTATGGACTCGAAAAAATCTTACGCACAAAAAAATAAAGTTTAATGTAATAAAAACGTCCGATTATAAATGAAGCTATGTATTTTTTTTATATATATATATATATATATATATATATATATATATATATATATATATATATATATATATTCATGGTAATTGCTCTGAGGAGCTGCATTCGCTGGTTCCCAGACTTCATGAGTTCAAGCGCCCTACGAGGCTGGCATCCCGCTCTCACCCTTTCACTGTCGAAACTCCTAAATGTAGCCGCCTCTTCTACCCCAAGAGCTTCATGTCTCACACCTCTCGCATGTGAACTCCCTTCCCTATTCCCGTTTCCCTGTGAGCTATAATCTCCAGCTATTCAAATGTAATGTCAATCGACATCTCCAGTTTTCTTGATCTATCCATCTTTCTCCTCATCTTTTCCTCTCTCACTCCTATCTGATCTTGCTCCAAATCTTCTGTAACCCCTTGCGTCCTTGTGGCTTCCCGCCTTGCTTGGGATGAAACGCTTAACATATATATATATATATATATATATATATATATATATTTTAACTAATATTCCATGGTTATAATTTATTACATTGGAATTGTAATTACTATTCCAATGTAATAAATTATAAACCATGGAATATTAGTGTTTGAGCTTTTTATATTATATTCTTACTTTGTCCTGACATTAAGTTCTACCTGGATTCTATCCTTGAAATATATATATATATATATATATATATATATATATATATATATATATATATATATAATGTGTGTGCCTGTGTGTAAAATTACTTTGATGTGAGCATATTTACAGTTTTCTATGAGGACAAAGAAAATTGAATACAAATTAGATCAACTCATTACTTCATTGAATTGATTAGCATATCGATTTTATTGATTAGGTCATTGGAAAAGATCAAGGCTAAATGCCAGCGGAAGGCATCGAAGATAATATCGTTCTTGGCGGGGATCTGATCTCAGAATCGATATCAATCATGTCAAAGACGAAATGCCTTTTCATTCTCACACCGGGATTTTTATCTATTGCCTTTCATCTTTGCAGTGAGCCGTCGTATTTTGCGAAGAACACAACGAATGTTACCCGGTGCGATTATTGTTATTGATCGTGAAGCAATGTTTCAAGTTTCATTATAAAAGAATAACATAATCGGTGAAATACGATCCTATCCTTGTGGAAGTAAACTTCCCTCAATATATAAGGCAAATTGAAATTCTTGTACAAATGCTCCGCTGTCTGTTTCATTCCAGGTTCGAATCGTTGTTTCGGTACCATTTAAAATAAAAAAATAATGTTTTTTTTTTTGTTTTTTTTTCCGATGATCGTAGCTTTCTTTATGTTATCCAGGACATCTTGAGGGAGGGGAAAAAGAATGAAACAACAATGAAAAATTCTTTATTTTTATTTATTTATTTATTTTTTGCAACTGTGGCTAAGGTGATTTAATCAAGAAGATAACGAATGAAAAAGATTGAGGACGAAAAAAAAGAAAGAAAGCCACTTTTTTTACCGCTGCGTCTGAGGTGATTAAATAAAGAAAAAAGAAAGACGAGGTGAGCAAGAAATAAGGTTCTTTTAACAGCTGTGGCTAATATGATCTGATAACGATTATATAGAGAGACAGGACAAACAAGAAATGACCCTGTTTTTCAGATGATGCTAACGAGGTCTAAAAACAAAGGTATAGAGAGGAAGTGATAACAAACAAGTAATGAAACCTTTTTAACAACTGCGCATAGCGTGATTTAATAGCGAAGATAAATGAAGAGAGAGAGAGAGAGAGAGAGCGACAAAAAAATAAAACCTTTTTTTTACAGGTGTGACTGAGGTGATTTAATAACGAAAATAGATGGATAGAGAGAGAGAGAAAGAGAGAGAGAGAGAGAGCGACCAAGAAATAAAACCTTTTTTTTACAGGTGTGACTGAGGTGATTTAATAACGAAAATAGATGGATAGAGAGAGAGAGAGAGAGAGAGAGAGAGAGAGAGACCAAGAAATAAAAACCTTTTTTACAGGTGTGACTAAGGTGATTTAATAACGAAAATAGATGGATAGAGAGAGAGAGAGAGAGAGAGAGAGCGACCAAGAAATAAAACCTTTTTTTTACAGGTGTGACTGAGGTGATTTAATAACGAAAATAGATGGATAGAGAGAGAGAGAGAAAGAGAGAGAGAGAGAGAGCGACCAAGAAATAAAACCTTTTTTTTACAGGTGTGACTGAGGTGATTTAATAACGAAAATAGATGGATAGAAAGAGAGAGAGAAAGAGAGAGAGAGAGAGAGAGCGACCAAGAAATAAAACCTTTTTTTTACAGGTGTGACTGAGGTGATTTAATAATGAAAATAGATGGATAGAGAGAGAGAGAAAGAGAGAGAGAGAGAAAGCGACCAAGAAATAAAACCTTTTTTTTACAGGTGTGACTGAGGTGATTTAATAACGAAAATAGATGGATAGAGAGAGAGAGAAAGAGAGAGAGAGAGCGACCAAGAAATAAAACCTTTTTTTACAGGTGTGACTGAGGTGATTTAATAACGAAAATAGATGGAGAGAGAGAGAGAGAGAGAGAGAGAGAGAGAGAGAGAGCGACCAAGAAATAAAACCTTTTTTTTACAGGTGTGACTAAGGTGATTTAATAACGAAAATAGATGGATAGAGATAGAGAAAAGAGAGAGAGAGAGCGACCAAGAAATAAAACCTTTTTTTACAGGTGACTGAGGTGATTTAATAACGAAAATAGATGGAGAGAGAGAGAGAGAAACAAGAAATAAAAACTTTTTTACAGGTGTGACTGAGGTGATTTAATAACGAAAATAGATGGAGAGAGAGAGAAAGAGAGAGAGAGAGAGAGAGAGAGAGCGACCAAGAAATAAAACCTTTTTTTTTACAGGTGTGACTGAGGTGATTTAATAACGAAAATAGATGGATAGAGATAGAGAGAAAGAGAGAGAGAGAGCGACCAAGAAATAAAACCTTTTTTTACAGGTGTGACTGAGGTGATTTAATAACGAAAATAGATGGAGAGAGAGAGAGAGAGAACGAACAAGAAATAAAACCTTTTTTTACAGGTGTGACTGAGGTGATTTAATAACGAAAATAGATGGAGAGAGAGAGAAAGAGAGAGAGAGAGAGAGAGAGCGACCAAGAAATAAAACCTTTTTTTTACAGGTGTGACTGAGGTGATTTAATAACGAAAATAGATGGAGAGAGAGAGAGAGAAAGAGAGAGAGAGAGCGACCAAGAAATAAAACCTTTTTTTACAGGTGTGACTGAGGTGATTTAATAACGAAAAATAGATGGAGAGAGAGAGAGAGAGAACGAACAAGAAATAAAACC